TCGCGTCACGTCTTACGACTTAAAGTAATAATAAAAAAAAAAATCTGTTTTCTTTCCTTTTTTTTTAATTTTCTTTTTAAAAAAAAAATTGCAAAAAAAATAATAATGATAAAAAAATTTTTTTTTTTTTATACCTTTTTTCGAGGGGGGAAAGAGAGAAAGAGGAGGGGGTAACAGGTTGCCACTAACTGCATAAACCTTTCGTCACGTAATAATTTATTAATTATAAAAATATTTAACGCGGTGATAAAAAAAAAAATTTAAATAATTAAAAATCATCCGGATGTCGGGATTTTATTTTTAATTTTTTTATTTTTGGCTGGGATTCGACTTGAATTTTATTTATTTACCGAAATCACTCCCCCTCGTCTCCCCTTCCTCCTTCCTCTCCCCACTCATTCCTGTTTTTTTCATCCGCATAAGTTTTTGGCAAAAAAAAAATTTTTTTTTTATTTTTAATTACTCCGCGTTTTTTTTTTTTTTTTTTTTTGTCTTTGCTAAATTCGTAAATTTTAATTTATTTTTCATTGATGTTCGTGTAAATGAGGAAGGGAGGGGAAAAAAAGGAGCAGGAGGAGGGGGAAATCAAATAACGGTGACGAATTTTCCAGAATTTTTTTCTTTTTTTCCCTCCAAAAAATTCATTGACGAGAGTTGAGGTTAAAAACAGAAAAAACGGTTGAAGGCGGCGAGCGGTATAAAAAAATTTTTTTTTTTTTTTTTTTTGCTTTCGTAAAAGTCATTTTTGCTGCCCCCCCGGTAAAAACCTTCGAACGTGTCCCCAAATTCATTTTTCAAAAAAAAAAAAAAAAAAAAAAAAAAAAAAAAAAAACTTGGAAATTATTTTTGGATACGTTCGTAATCGGTCGAACGTTCGCGTTTTTTTTTTTTTATTCATTTTCCGCCATTCCGACCCGTTGGTTGTTGTTAGTTGGGCGTTTGTTATTATGTCATCAAAGGTATATATGGACACGCGAGGGAAAAACGTTGGATGAGACGGGATGCGGTTGAGAAAATATGGCGGCAAAACATTAGAAAGTTAAAATGATGGTGGATGCACTCGAAACTGGAGAAATTTATCGTGCGTGAGTGTGTGAGTGAGTGCGTGTGGAGAAATAGAACAGAAAACGAAAAAAAAAAAAAAAAAACTTTTGAATGCGGCTTTAAAAAAAAAAAAAAATAAATAAAAAGTGGTTGTAAATTACTTTTTTCTCTCTCTTTTTCTCCCTTTCTCTCTCTCTTTCTTTTTCTTTTCGAGCGCATTTAATTGCGCCATTTTCGAAAAATTTATTTTTCTTTTCTTTTCTTTTCTTTTTTTTGGTAAAGTTTTTTCTTGGTTAACTACATAACTTTAAATTGTATTTGAAATGATAGTAATAATAATAATAATAATAATAATTTTTGTTTTTCCTCCTTGTTTAAAAGAAAAAATTTTTTTTTTTTTATGTTAACGACGTGATTTAAGAATTTCGCGGTAATCGTGTACGAATAAAAAAAAAAAAAGTTTCTTGTTTTCTCCTTCCACGTTTTTTACTTCTTTATAATTTTTATTTATTTTTTTCTTCAAACGTTATTTAAACGAGTGAAATTTAAAAATGTCGCGATGGGGGGCGGGGAGGAGGTGTGAAGGCATTCAAATCGTTTCGTTTGAAATATCGTGGGGGGAAAGAAAAAGAAATCAAACCTTTTTGCGTGATATTACCTTTTTCCTTTTTCTTTCTTTTCTTTTCTCCAGGAATTTTTCTGATTCGTTCGACTTAGTATTATTATTATTATCATTTTTTTTTTCAATTTGCAATTCGAAATGAGTTTAACGGAGAAGGTTTTTTTCATCTCTCATCTCTGGCCCGAAAGACAAACGTCGGAAAACAGCTTGGAATACAAAAAAAAAAATTTTTTTTTTTTTTTGTTTGTTTTGTTTGTATTCATTTATTCTTGAATTTTTAACATTTTTTTTTGTTTTATACCCATATCCTCTTCTTCTTCTTCTTTGTTTTCTTTTTTTCTACAAATCTTTTTTTGTCTTTTTTTCTGTCCAAAAAAAGAAAAATGATTCGAAATGAATGATTGATTGAAATGGAGAAAGTTTTGGAAAATGCGTGGAATTCGAATGTAAAATTTTTTATTTATTTATTTATTTTTTAAAAATAAATTTACTTGATTTTATTATTATTATTATTATTATTATTATTGATAGTAGTGGTAATAATAATGATAATGATGATGATGATGATAATGATGATAATTGTTTTTAATCAATGATTAATTAATAAATTAATTTTTACGTACACGTACGCATTAAGTTTTCTTTTTTTTTTCATTTTTTTTTTTTGTTTTTCTTCGATTGGTACGATTGAATTCAAATTAAAATGGGGAAATGAGTAAATGTTAAGTTGGTAGTATCTCTTTCCATTGGTCGTTTAAAAAGAAAAAAAAAATTTGTTTCTTTTCATTTTTTTGCAAATTTCTGTGTATATCGAATCGCACCAAAGTGATAAAAAAAAAAAATTATTATTATTATTGTTATAAAAATGGGGAAAAAAATGATTTTCTAGAGTTTTCTTTCGGTTTTCCATTAGTGAATAGTTTTTATCATTATTATTATTTTTTTTTTTTCCTTTCCAAAGAATTGAAGAACGTGGCTCACATTTTAAATAAGATTTTTTTTTTTTTTCCTCCCATAATTTTAATATACGGAGGAGGAGGGAGAAGGAAAAAAAGGGGGGGACGAGTTGGATAGCAGACATTATTAAACTCACGTTTTTCTTTTTTTTCTTTTTTTTTTTTTTTTTTTTTTTTGAATAAAATAATGTGATAATATTTAGAAATCGATCGAATTTAAAATAAAAATGATTTTATTATCATTATTATCATTATTATTATTATTTTGATTTTATTGTTTTAAATAATAATAATAATAATAATAAATTTCAGTAGAAGAATCTCGTAAAACAAAAATTAAAAAAAAAAACATTTATTTGCGTTGTTAATCAACATATCGAAACTGGTCAATTTTTTTTCTTGTAATTTTGTTGTTGTTGTGGTTGTGGTTGTTGTTGTTCTTGTTGTTGTTGTATTACGTATTTAAACATTATTTATTTGTTTGTTTCTACGATTTGAATTATAATTATTTTTTTTTTTTTATTCTCGTAAAATTGAAAATGTTGTTCGCCCTGAAAAAAAAAAAAATTTAGGAGAATTAGCTCCGCGAATTTTTTTTTTTAATCGTAACTTTTTTAGTTCTTAGGAAAATTAAAAAAAAAAAAAAAACTGTTTAACGTTGGTTATGTTTTAACATATAACTGTTTAATCGAACATAATTTATATATAAATAAAAAACATAAACATAAACGAACATAAAGTAAAGACAAGAAGAACGGAAACGATTGAAAGAAAAACAGAAAGAAAACTGTTACCGGTTGTTTGTTTTGTCTCGTTTTGTTATTTTTTTTTTTACTGTTGTTATTATTATTATTATCATTATTATTATTATCGTGAGTTAATACGTAAACAATTTATCGTAAAAAAAAAAGTGAATTAAATTTATTTTTCCGGATATTTTGGGAATATGATGATGATAATGATGGTGGGATAACACACACCGCGTTTAAATTCGTTTATTTATAAAAAAAAATTTTTTTAAAATAAAAATGGTTCGAAGAAGGATGACTTATGCTTTAAGGCTGTGCGGAAGACCTTTTTCAAAAAGGAAAAGTGTTGTCCTCAGTAAGTATATCATCAAGACCAATCAATTACTTCCTGTTATGCGGCGGGAGGGGAGGGGAGGGATTAATAAATATTTTTTTTTCTAGAGAGAGAGAGAGGAGTGACACGAAATCGTTTAAAAAAGGATAGTTAAAGGGGTAGGTGGGGAGAAACGGGAGAGGAAAAGGGGGGAAAGGAAAACGAAGTGACCGAATCGAACCCGTGTCCTTCGACCTTTTCTTTCTTTCTTTCTCGAAACTCTTCTCAATCTTCACTTTTTTTCTTTCTTTAACTTTGTTAGGATGCATAGGCCTTTTAATTAAGCTTTCTCGATGATGAAACGGGGGAAAAAGTCTAAAAATATCCTAGAATATCATACGGATCGATGGGTTTCATAATGGAATTTCTGTTTGCCGAAGGTTGTTGTTGCGTCTTTCTTAAAAGTATGAAAAGGAAAGAAAAAGGAAAAAAAAAAGGAAAAAAAAAGGAAAAATTTTTTTTTTTTTTTTTTAACGGCGATTAAGTTTCCATTTGTTTTGTTTTTTGCTTTTTTTTTTATTTTTTTAAATGTTATTTTACGAAAATATGTGTGTGTGAGTGCGTGTGTGCGTGTTGTAATGCTAAAATATTCGATAAGATATTTATTTTTACAAATAAAAATATGGGTCATCGAAGACAAAATTTCTGTGGTCATTGCCAGAATATAAATACGTAATTTATTTTATTATTATTATTAATATCGTTTTAAAAATGATAACATTGATAATGATAATAATAATGATGATGATAATAACAAAATGGAAAAATGTTGAGATTTTTTTTATTCAATGTAGTAGTAGTAAATAACAATTTACACTTTGATTGATTGATGAGTGTAAATTACGATTTTGTAGTGATTTAAAATGACACAATGTACGTAGTAACAAAGCGAATTTTAAACAGAAAAGAGAGAGAGAGAGAGAGAGAGAGAGAAAGAGAGAGAGATTGGCCACCCAATGACAAAAAACCAACCAACCAAAACATAATTTGATTGAGGAAATACAAAACGACGCAATAAACAAAAAAGAAAAATTTCGTCACAAGACCATCGACGCCAAGTTCACGTGTCAGATTTAAAAAAAAAAAAAAACTTTTGAAAACTGTTATTATTATTATTATTATCATCATCATCGTCATCAGAAAAAAAAAAGATGAAATTTTCAAAGTTTTAATTCATAAATTAATAGGAATTAATATGTATATATAATATTTTTCTGTCGACAGGCCTGCACTTACGGAGCGTGGAGGAGCCCAGAATGACGGCGGAAACAGCTCCGACGACAGTGGCTCCCCCGAGCGGGGATGCAGGGGGAAAGTATTATTACGACCCCGAGTATGCTCGCATGGAAGCATGGCTGGACGAGCACCCGGACTTTGCCCAAGATTACTTCTTGCGGTAGGTACGACCTTTCACGCAAGCACTTACACACCCACACCCATGCACACACACAGTCTGTCGTCTGCTTCCCAACCTCATCTATTCCGATTCCCTTTTCTTTCTTCTTCTTCATGCGACCTTTTCTTTCTCTCTTGCCAAAACTTTTTGACGCGTTTTCATGATATTTTGCATCACGCGGACTGATGATGTTGATTCCCCCCTCCCCCCGAATGCATCAAATTCAAGTTAACAGTTGAATTACTTTTAGGAAATTTGCCATTATTATTATTATTATTATTATTATTTGACTGACAAGTTATTATAAAAGAAATTTTCAAGTTAAGTAAACTGACATTTAAAATTTTCCAATCATTAATTTCATTTTCCGTGCTACGAAAAAAAAAGGAAGAAAAAATTATTATTATTATTATTATAGTCATTTGACATCGTTATAAATGAATGAATGAATGAATGATTGAGTGAATGTAAATATGAATATGAACAAATTTGTTTATTAATTGATTTCGAAAATAAAATTGAATGAATTTTATTGACGTGATAGAAAAATTTTTTTTTGTTAAAAATAAACCGGAAACGGAATTGATGGTGTTTGGGAAAAAAAGTAAAAAAGCGCGGAAAAATTCGAATCATTCGATTAATTTTTTTTGTTCGATATTTTCCAGTAAAGCAACTCGACAGATAGTCGACACGTGGCTTGTATCGCATGCGACGCCAACGCCTAGTTTAAATTCAGCCGATCCTGCCTCTCCAACGTTCCTTCACGCGCAACACTCCGTTCCCAGTGCCACGGGCAATTCATCGTCCAGGGGCAATTCAGGGGCGACAACACCCGTCCGAAAGATCTCTGCCCACGAATTTGAAAAAGGCGGACTTTTGAAACCCATCGTCAACACCATAGACGGCACGCCGACGTTTTTATCCGTGGGTTCACCCGTCGAAGGTCAATCCGTCGGAGTTCAATCAAACATTGGATTTTCGTCGCATTTATCCGGGAGACCCCAGAGAAGATCTCGACATGAGCTTAGAAATTTAGACGAGAAAGAATTAATTTTCGAATTGGTAAGACAAGAGACTCGGATTTTTTTTTTACTTTTACATCTAAAATTTTCCGGTTTCATTTCGATAATCCAAACCGAAAAAAAAAATTTAATTTATTATTATTATTAATATGTCTTGTCGTTTCTCAGGTGAAAGATATATGCAACGAATTGGATGTGCGGTCTCTTTGTCACAAAATCCTACAAAACGTGAGCATGTTGCTGCACGCGGATCGTGGTTCGTTATTCCTAGTCCAGGGAGATCGTTGGAATCACGAAACGTGCTGTTCGAAAAATGGCGAAAACGGTATCAAGTGCAACAAATGCATCACGAATAACAATTCGAGGTATCTCGTATCGAAATTGTTCGACGTTTGTTCCAAATCCACGCTTCAAGAAATGGAAAAAAAAGAAGAGATTAAAATTCCATGGGGGACCGGAATCGTCGGATTTGTCGCGGAAAGCGGAGAACCCGTCAACATACCCGACGCATACAAGGTAACACGCAAAAAAAAAAATTATTTAACGAAAGCTAGCTAGGCATTGGGGGGAAATGGTTAAAAATAAAACTTTACGGAAACCCAACGTTTCGTGGTCCCCCCCACTTTCCCGTTTTTTTGGCCAAGTTAAAATGATTGCGTTTTGTTTACTAAACGAACGCAAAATTTCCTACTCATTGATAAATTTTAATTCGATTACACGGATGAAATTTCATTTATTTTGCCTTTTGGTATAAAATCGTGAATTGAATTTAAAAAAGGGAGAAACACAACAACAACAACAACAAACAAACAACAACAAAAAGTTTTTTTTTTTTTTTGCTCAGCCTCCAGTGGGGAGTTTTTTTTTTTTTTTCAGGGACGCGAGATTTCGTTTGGGTTCTGTCATTTTTACGTAACCATCATCGTCATCAATCATCAATTATTATTATCATCGGCGTAGGGTTATTTTTTTAAATAAACGTGGGGTAGGGGGAAGTAGGAGGAGAAGAGGGAAGGGAAGAAAAACGGAAACCAAAAAAAAAAATTTTTTAGAAAAAATTTCGTGAATAAAATATTTGAGGTTTTTTTTTTTTTTTTTTGTATTTTTTTGTCGAAGCGCCGCACGTGAGCAACAGGTTTTTTTTGCGTTCGTTAACTTCGTTAACGGCCTTTGTAAAAACCCAACAAAAGTTTTAGAAAAGTTTCGGGGGGAAAAAATCTCCCGCCCCCCTCCCTTGTCCCTCGGGAAAGTCGCCGGAAAAGAAAAAAGAAGAGCCCTCTCCCAATTTAAATAGTTGAGGGTCGGATTGGTCTTTTTTTTTTGTTTTTGTTTTTCTTATTTTTCCAAAGGTTATCATCGTTATTATTATTATTATTATCATTATCATTATTATTATCAATTTGGTTTTTAATTCTTTTCGCGAGCTTTTACGAATTTTATATATAAATCGAAATCGTTTGGGATTTTTTTTTTTTTGTTAATCTTAGTAGAAAGAAACGAAACGCTTTTCTTTATAATCTTCTTAAGTTAAGAATAAATCGTCAGTTAAAACGGCAACGAGAATAATAATAATAATGGTGACAATGATGATAATGGCGTGGATTTATTTTTTCATTTCAGGACGATCGTTTTAATCACGATATAGATGCAAGGACGGGATACAAAACGAGAACGCTTTTATGCATGCCTATAAAAGATATCAACGGTGACGTACTCGGTGTAGCCCAGGTAAAATCACTTTAAGAAAATAATGATGAAGGTGTAATGATGATGATGATGATGACGATTCGTTTTTTTAGGTGATCAACAAGTCAAACGATTCGTCTTTCACGCAAGCAGACGAAAAAGTATTTTCTAGTTACCTACAATTTTGCGGAATCGGTTTGAAAAACGCGCAGCTCTATGAAAAAAGTCAATTGGAAGTCAAAAGAAATCAAGTCCTTTTGGATCTTGCCCGCATGATATTCGAAGAACAAAGCACGATGGAACACATGGTCTTCAGGATATTGACGCACACTCAATCCCTGATTCAGTGTCAGAGAGTTCAGGTATATAAAAAAAAAAAAAAAAAATTTCGCCCACCCCTCCCCTCAACTAATTTAATTTAAGGTTTTTGTAATTTTATTTTAAGGTATTACTCGTACACGAAGCGTCCAAGGGTAGTTTTTCAAGAGTTTTCGATTTCGAAGCAAGCGATTTGGAAGTTGAAGAAAACGATGCGAGAACAAGGTACGGGAGATAGGAGAATCGGGGGAGGGGGAAATTCGAAGTTTTCGTACGAAAAATAACGATAATAATAATAATTTTTTTTTCTTATTTTCTTCCACCTTTGCAGCCCTTTCGAAAGCAGGTTTCCAATAAATGTTGGGATCACGGGTTACGTCGCGACGACGGGAGAGGTTCGTATTATTTATTTTTACCGGAAGTAAAAAAAAAGGGCGACAGGAAGTCAAATTGTTTTTGTTTTCAGACCGTGAACATAGCAGATGCGTACGAAGATGAAAGATTTGATCCGTCTGTTGACGAAGGTGGTTCGTTTCGTCACAAAAGCATTTTATGCATGGCCATAAAGAATTCCTCAGGGCAAATAATCGGAGTGATTCAGGTGAGAAAAAGAAAATGTCACGCTCGCGCGTGACATAATAATTCTTTGTTTTTCAATTTGTTTATTTATTTTTTTAATACTTTTAGCTCATAAATAAATTTGATGATCTCGTTTTTACCAAAAACGATGAGAATTTTGTCGAAGCTTTTGCCATTTTCTGTGGAATGGGAATACACAATACCCACATGTGAGTGCGGCTTTACTTTACTTGCAAAAAGGAAAATCGGAAAAATAATTGATTATTATTATTATTTTTTTTTTTACAGGTACGAAAAGGCTGTGATAGCAATGGCAAAACAAAACGTGACCCTAGAGATTCTTAGTTACCATGCATCGGCGTCTTTGGAGGACGCACAAAGACTGAAGGTTTGTTTTGTGACGACAACAACAACAAACAATTAAAAAAATGAAAATGAAAATTTTTTTATTTTTTACAGAGCCTTAGAGTACCTTCGGCACACTTTTTCAAACTTCACGATTTCAATTTCGACGATATAGAAATGAGTGATGACGAAACTCTCAAGGTAAATTAATTTTTTTTTTTTTTTTTTTTTTGCATAGGCGCGCGCGTTTCACACATGTCCTTTTTTTTATTTTTTTTTTTTTTTAGGCTTGCTTAAGAATGTTCCTAGATTTAGATTTTATCGAAAGGTTTCATATCGATTATGAGGTTCTTTGCAGATGGCTTTTAAGCGTTAAAAAAAATTACAGAAACGTCACGTATCACAATTGGAGGCACGCTTTTAACGTCGCGCAAATGATGTTTGCAATATTGACGGTGAGTTGACGACGCGGTTATTATTATTTATTTTCCTGACAAATATTTTTTCGAAAAAAAATTAAAATAATAAATTAAAATCGTCAGGTGACTCAATGGTGGAAAATTTTCGGTGAAATTGAATGTTTAGCTTTAATAATAGCGTGCCTGTGTCACGATTTGGATCATCGGGGAACAAACAATTCGTTTCAAATCAAGTGGGTAGTAAATCGGGTGACGAATGGAAATTTTTAAAAAAATTATGTGTATGTAATAATAATAATACTAATACTTGGTTTTTGTCAGAGCATCTTCTCCTCTTGCCCAATTATATTCGACATCGACGATGGAACATCATCACTTTGATCAATGCATTATGATATTGAACAGTCAAGGGAATCAAATATTGAGCAACGTGTCGTCGGACGAATACGCGAGAATAATTAAAATATTAGAAGACGCCATATTGTCAACGGATCTTGCCGTTTATTTCAGGTAATGATTTATTCTTGCTGTTGTTGTGGGGGAAAATGTCGGTGGTTGTGTGTGTCCCGAATGAAAAAATAATTTTTTTTTGTTTTTTTGTTGTTGTCACAATAGAAAACGAGGAGCTTTTCTCTCTCTCGTCAAATCATCTTCGTACAATTGGGCAAGAGATGATCATAGAGAATTATTGAGAGCCATGATAATGACGGTTTGCGATTTGGCAGCTATAACGAAACCTTGGGAGGTTGAAAAAAGGGTAGGTATCATCATTATTTTGTGCCAGAAGGAAAATGTTTTTAGCCTGACGAAATTTTTTTTTTTTTCTTCTTTGTCAGGTGGCAGAATTGGTGACGTGTGAATTTTTCGAACAGGGTGACATCGAAAGACAAGAATTGAATATCACTCCGATCGTGAGTTGTTTTGATTATTTTTTTTTTTTTTTTTGTCGAAAGGTAAATATCATTATTGATAATGATGATGATGATAATATTTTTTTAAACAGGATATAATGAACAGGGAAAAAGAAGATCAGTTGCCGCTCATGCAAGTCGGTTTCATCGATTCCATTTGTTTGCCCATATACGAGGTTTGTAGGCGCGCGTTTTTTTTTTTTTTTTTTGTTTTTATTATTACCTTTCGAAAATGATTATTATTATTATTATTATTCGTTCGAAGAAATAATAATAATAATGATTTTTATGAGAGTTGATTGATAAGGCGGTCACTTTGAGTAGTGTGTTGGGGCATCGTTTTAATTAGAAAAAAATTTTTTTTTTTGTTGCTGTTTGTAGTCGTTTGCCATGTTGTCAGATAAGTTGAAACCTTTGGTCGATGGTGTGCTTCGTAATAAAGAACACTGGCTCGAAAAAGCAATGTCGAATCATTTGGATTCATCCGAAGAAGATATCGTCGATACCGGATACGTATGAAATGACAAAAGAAAAAAAAAACAAAACAAACAAACAAACGAAACGAGTGTAGAAATCGACGAATGATGAGAAAAGTGGTGTTGTTGTTGTTGTTCGGTAGGTGTGATTTTCAAATATGGCTGCTTAAAAATATGAATGAATCCCTTGTACCTCCCTTTTTCTATCTCTCTCCCTCCCCTTCCCTCCCCCATCGAATTGAAAATCGCCGTCGGCTGTGGGTTGTTGTAGTTATAATTATTATTATTATTATTCAATCGAAATGCACCGCCATCTTTTTTTTTTTTTTTTGTTTTTCCTGTAGTCGGTGGTGTGCATATATATTTATAATAAAGTCATTGAATATTTTTATAGATAGAAAAAAGATAATGTAAATGATTATTATTATTATTATTACTATTATTATCATTATTATTTTTATAAGCAGTTATATATTTTTATACTCTATGACGATAGTAAAAAAAAAAAAAAAAAAAATTTTTTTCGTGTGTATTAATGGCGAAAGTTGGTTGGGGAACAAAAAAAAGAAAAAAAAAATAATTAAAGTTTATTTATTTATTTATTTATTAATTATTGAAAAGAATTTTTTGCTCTGCTCTTCGACCAAAACATTCGACACAAATCGTTTTTAAATTTATTGCCTAAATTATTTATTTATTTATTTGTTAATAAATAAATAAATAGATAAACAAATTTAATTTACGAAGCTTTAAAACATAGTTAAAAACACGATGAATCTGTACAAAATATCGAAATGTGAAAATTGTAAAAAAAATTATTATTATTATTATTATTATTATTATTATTATTATTATTTGTTGTTGTTGTTGAATAGTTTTGTTGTTTGTTGGTTCAATTTGTTGATGCGTTTGTTTCGTTGGTATATTGTTCACAAAAACTTTTTGTTTATTCATTCCATTTACATGTAAAATTTGTATTAATTATTACCTCCCAATATTTCCGCCATTTTTTTTTCCCCCATTTATGCGCACTCATTTCGTACTCTTAATTAAAGTACACGTGTACTCAAAACGTACTAAGTAAACAAAGTACACACGCCCGTACAAATTTATTAGTAACGATCTAATTAAAAAAGCGCGTTTTGTTTTTTTACGTTTATTAATTATTATTATTATTTTTCGCGGCATTAATTTTTTTTTTTTTTTCATTCAATAATACTAGCGTGAAATGATGATGATGATAATAATAATGATAGGATTTATTTGAATTTTAATTCGGTTTTAGTCGGTTGAAGTATTTTTTAAATTCAAACGCATCAGCTTGCGTGTATGTGCGTGTGTGTATATAATTTTGTGTAATAACGTGTAAAATTGATAACCAAAGGTTGCCCTTTGTCGTATCCCCTTTACCTTTTTCTTACTTCTTCCCCTCCCTTCACCCCCTCCATTCGATTCGCTTTTACCTTTTTTATATTGAATTTTAAAAAAATTGGAAAATATTAAATATCCGAGTCTAAAATCATCATCGTAATAATCAAAGTTGAAATTTCAACCATTCCTATTTTTTTATTTATTTATTTATAATAAATAATTAATATATATTTATTAAAAAATAATGATGATGATAATAAAAGGCTCAATATTGGAAAAAAAGGGAAAATTATACCAAAATTGTACATATATATATAAGAGTGTAAAACACAGGGTCATCTAGAAAATCTCAGCTTTTTTTTTTTTACTCCTTTTCTCTCTTTTTCTCTCACACACAGTACGTCATTCTATCTCTCTTTCTATTTCTTTTCGTTAAAGATTGTATATATTTATTATTATTATTATTATTATTAAATTATTGATGTAAATTTATAAAAAAAAATATAATATAAATAAATATATATATATATGATAGTTTTTAGATAGATGACGAAAAAAAAAAGAAAATTAATAATAATAATGATAATATTTTTTTATGCTGGTCTTTGGGACCAGAACTATGCACCCGATTGATTGATTGATTGATTGACTAGTTTTTTTTTTTTTCTTCCTTTTCGATGTTTTACACACACATTTGTAATTTTTCAGTATTTTTTTTATTGTTTTATTTAATTTTTTTTTTTGTTTTTGTTAATAAGACGATAAGAAAAAAAAAAAAAATATATATATATATATATATATATATATGATAATAATAATCATGATAATGATGATGATAATGATGATAATAATTTTTCCGAATAAATAAAAAATAAATAAATTTTTTTTAATTTTAATTTAAATTATTTGGATTTTTGTTTTTTTCAGCTTTAAAAAAAATAAACAAACCTTTCAAAACCTTTTTTTTTCCTTTTTCGGCAATTATTATTATTATTATTATTATTATTATTATTATTATTATTATTATTATTATTATTATTATTATTTTTATTTATGTCGTTCTTATAAGGAAATCGTATGAGGAAAAAAAAAAGAAAAGAAATTTAATGTGTTTAATTTTTTTTCTTTTTTTTTCCTCTTCCCCCCAGTGGAAATAATTGTAAAGAGGAATGGTATGTAGTCCCTTAATAATAATAAAGAAAAAGGTGTAAGAGGGAGAGTGGGGGGAAGAGAGTAATTTTAATTTAAACATTGTTTGTGTGAATTACATGTGCGAAGAAAGATTTAGATATTGCATGTCAAAACCTGAATTAATTTTTGTTGTTGCCTTGGATACAATTTAAAATAACTATAACGTTTTCTTTCTTTTTTTTCTATTACTATTCTCCCGCGGTAATACAATAATAATAATAATAATAATAATAATAATAATAATAATAATAATAATAATAATGATAATAATATTTATTGTTTAAAAAAAAATTATTTAAATGGTTTATGCGTATCGAATTAAAAACACTTTCATTTAAAAAAATGAAAGAAAGAAAGAAATTTATTTTTTTTTCATATGTTAAGTATGGACGTGATGGTTCTCCTCCCACCCCTCTTCCCTCTCCTCCCTCCCCGAGGTCCCTCCTCAAAAAAATTCTATCCGAAAACATGGTCGTAATCGCGTGGGCTAATTAAAAGCAGATGACTTCATTCAAGGTTTTTTTTTTTTTTATTCAACTGTCGAGTTTTTCTTATTCTTTTTCTCGTTTTCCTTTTTTCCCTCTGTCTCTCTCTCTCTCTCTCTCTCTCTCTCTCTCTATCTGTCTCTCTTTTTCTCTTTCTTTCGTATTATTCCCCGTAAAGGTTCCGCGCTCGCGTGTTAAACCTTATTAAAAAATTTTTCCTCACTAAAAACCAACCGATTTTGCTCTCTCTCTTTCTCTCCCTCTCTCTCTCTCTCTCTCTCTCTCTCTCTTGTTCATTTACTCTGCGCTGTAGAATTCCATCTTTAAAATTCTGCACAGTTGCTTTCGACACGTCGTCACATACACAGACTGAATTATTGCATTTTATTATTTTATTTTTTAATTTCCTTTTTTTTTGTGTTTGTGTTAACTGGAATTTTTTTTATTTTTCGAGGGACTAAAATTATTATTATTATTATTATCATTTTCCAGTGATTTATATTACGTGATAATTATTATTATTATTTTTTTTTTAATCGTGAAGTGAATATTTTATAAAATCCGGTAAGTTTTTTTTTTTTTTTTTTTTTATTTTAAATTTTTTATTGTTAGGATGGTTTTAAATATTTTTAATAAAAAGGGGTAATAAAAAAACATTTTTGAATGAAAAAATAATTTTTTTGAAATGATAATAATAATAATGATAATGATAATGATTAAATTATTAAATGTTTTAATGATATGAGCGATGAAAAAAAATTTTTTTCAATGTTTTTTATAATTTACACGTTTTTGTTTTTTTATTTGTTCACGAATTAAAAATTATTATTTAAAAATTTTTTTAAATAATTTAATCGAATGATTAGAGAGATGATAAGAATGATAAAACGACAAACAAATAAACAAACAAACAATCGCGGTTTTAAAATTCCCGTTTTAAAACCCGAAAAAAAAAAAATTTTTTTTTTTTTTTTATCCAGATTGTTGTTTAATCAAATCCGTCGTCGTTTCGTCAGTTTTAAATTTACGCGCGTAATTTTTAAACAATAATTATTAATATCATTATCATTAACGAACGCCGTTTAATTATTTAATCGTTTGAATGAATCACTCGCACGAAAACAAACAAACAACAACAAACAGAAAAAAAAAAATTAACGAGTTTTTCTCCCTAATTATTTATTATTATTATCCATATAATGACAAATTAAACGTTTTCCAATTATCATCATTATCATTATCATTATTATTATTAGTAAAATTTTATTAATCGAACCCTAGGGAAGGAGTACGAAAAAAATTATTATTATTATTACGTTTCGTTGGCGTAATTATAAAATAACGCGCGTGAATTTTCATTCCTAATGAAAAGTAATAATGATACGCGGGTGTCGAAATATAAAAAAAATACATCGTGTCAATTATTAATAATGTTCGCAACGGGTCAATTTAAATTTAATAAAAAAAATAAAAAAATAAAATTTATTTCCCGATCCTGTTTTATTGATTTTTTGTTATATATATAGATGTACATATATAAAATTTTTTTTTTTCCCCCCTTCGTTATCCTCGTTATATTTGATTTTATTATTAATATTATTATTAAAATGAAATAATTAAAACGTCGTTATGAAGAATTTGTTTCCCATTTCATGTAAATGATGATGATGATAATAATAATAATTAAAACTCTCCGAAAGAATAATCATTTGCATGGACAATGAATTCGAATTCGTCGTCATTAATGAGTCAATTAAAAAAAAAAAAATAATAATAATAATAATAATAGTAACGGGAAGTGAGATGAGGTTAGGTTGGGAGGGGAGAGAGAGGGGAGGGGAGACAAAAGTTTTGAATTTTTTATTTGGTTAACTTGAATAATAAAAATCTCGTAAAAACATTAGAAGAAGAAAAAAAAATTTTTTTTTTTCCTCTTTCTTCTTCTTTTTTTCGCCTCGAATAACTTTAAACAAAAAAAAAAAAAAAATTTGTTTAG